AGATTTTGGAGAAATGCTACAAATGAAACCTCAAGAAGTTCACAATGCCCTAAAGTTTTTCCATATACTAAAAATGTTATTTCATTATGATGATTCACCAGCAAAGGACATAGTGTTTCTGAAATTGGATGGTCTTATTAGCATTATTAAAGAATTAATGGATGCCATAACTGAATTTCGAAAATTCAAAGGTTTAGAAAGAGAGCAAAGACAACTAGCAACAGTAGGATGTCTTTCAATTGAAAATCTCAAGTCAACTGTTTCTTTTAAAATGATTTCATCAATATTTAATAATGATGATGACTTTGTGTCAAAAATGCTTTTGGGTCTGTTTCAACATCTTGACATTGCTGCACAGCTTTCAAAAACAGAATTTTTAATGCCAGCACTTCTTCCTCTTATTGATATATCTGACACTGAGGTAGCTACTCTTGAAACAATGCCTTTACTTTTCTACTTTAAAGACAGAGCTGTTCCTATGGGCCTCTTTTGTGCTGTTATAGTGCATCTTCTCTCAGACTCTTGGAGAATTACTTCCAGGAAAGGAAATTATTCTAATTTTTTTACATTACAAAAAACAATGGAAACTTGTCGAATAATAAACTTAACTCTAGTAGAACAGCTTGATTGCATTGAAATGCATTGTGAAAAAACTGCTGATAGAATCAAAGTTAAAGATGCTGTAGAGAAATCTATAAATGAAGTTATGAAGAAGAAAAATATTGATGATGAGTTACCAATTCTGGCATTTTATTGTCTGCCACAATGTGGTGATGGAAGAGATCATAAAGTTACAAAAACGGAAGATGGCATTATTTGTGAGGAAACCAACCAGGATTTCCAAACAAATGAAGAATATTGTTCATGGTTTAGAAGTCAGCAAGATAAAAGTGATAATTGTGAGTAAAAAGTATGCTGTACTGCTTTTATATATTATATTATAGGTACAAAAGTCCTTACCATTGGTGATTGGAACGATATAATAGGAATATTAGACAACAATGGCTTTCCAAGTCACAAATGGCATAAACTTGGAGTAAAATTAAATATAGACTATGATCAGTTAGAAAATATTGAAAAAGATAAAAAAGAAAGCTATGATTGTTATTGCAAATGTATTGCAGTGTGGTTGAAAACTGATGGTAAACCAACATACAGCAAACTAATTGATGCTGTTGGATCTAAAGGTACTGGTGAACCTGCTGTAGCTGCTGCCATTAAAGAACATTTAAGTGCAACATAATTTTTAGTGCTATATAGGCATTTTTTGTTTGTTTTCTTTACATTCAAGTCCTAAACTAACTAGGATTATAGATTTTTCATACATGTAGTTGTACAAAAACTCATTTGGTAACTCATAGTATCATTTGACTATTCTTTTGTTTCGCTTTCTTATTTTTGGTTTCTATCTTTTTCCTCAGCACATCCTTTATGCAATTTTTGGTACTTTAGTTTGCATATGTAATTGCTATGTTATTTTTGCTTTTATGCTGCTATATTTTAAGAATAATAATATCAAACAGTATCCACATTAATTAACAATTATCTTAGCATTGTCATTGTCCAATGTATTATTATTATTAAATAATTCCTTTTCCTTTCCTAACAACTTTAACAATAATAAAAGTAACAACAGCCACTACTATTATAACTATTAATACTATTATAATAATTAACTTGATTGATCTCTTCTGATGCTTCTCATGTATAACTAATCATTACTTGTGATATTTCAGCAGTTAGTATGTCAATGTTGTGTTCTTCTTCAACATCATCAAACACATCAGGTCTTGTACTATGTTTATCCTGTAACTCCTCCAACTCATGCACTGGAGAATGGAGAGGGAGGGAGGGAGAGGTAACCAGGGCAAAAATGTGTCATGAGAGCCACAATGTCTAATGCCAATATTTTGGGTAGCTTACTATTATGTACTACTAGGTGTACTAGTTGTAAATAATACTAGACACACGTGTCAAACATTAAGGCATTTTTTACACGTGCTTGTAACAAGAGCTGCATGATGCATGCCTCATGTTCAGCAGGCTATATAAAGAGGTACTTTTTGATGCAGTGAGCAAGTTACAACTAAAGGGAAATCACGATGAAGACTCTTGTATTCTTCTTTATGACTCTCAGTGTTTGTGTTCTGGCTATGCCAAGTATGTCAATAGTTGTATGTGTTAATGTATGTTCATTGTATGTTATTTCTATGATAGGCACAAAGTCTTACAACAATGATCATTACAGGTATAATGTATTGTGTGTATACTATTGTACATTATTCATGTGACCTTAGGAACAGAAACAAAGTAACAAACATGAAGAACGAGACTTCACCACCAGAAGGGAGATCATTTGTACATACAAGTATTTTTGTTTCTATTGAATTAAGAATTCATCATTACAATTTAAAGGTATTGGAGTACTTGGTATACGAATCATAGCTGAAGGAAACAATCTTTGTGTTTACACAGATAACATCAAAAAAGGCTGTGTTGATGGTAAGACTTTTGCAACTAGAGTTTGTACTGCTTCATTCGATTTGTAGCTAACAAAGCTTGTGGAGCAAAAGTTGGTGAATTTTCTATTGGTTGTGCTGATGATGAGGAGCTGTTTATTGAAAGATGCTATAAGAAATGTTCACTTCTTGCTAATAAACATTTCCCATTACGCACAGCTATTCATACATGCTCAAGGAATGGATGCACTTCAAGTCAGGAATACGATGCTGGTTTGTGCTATCCTAAATGCAAAGATTACTACATCGGAGTTGCCCACCTTTGTTGGGGATACTGCAGCAAATTCTGTGGATCAGCATACACTGACATGGGTCTATACTGCTACCGGTGGTGGCCACCACATAGCTGTTACAAACCAAGGTATGATAGAGGTGCTGGGGTCCTCCCTTACCAGCCCTGGACCAAGGGAGCGGGATGCAATGGGTTTAGAGTAGATAATACAGGAGGATGTCCATTGTACGATATCTCTGATAAATTGCCTGCTGGTTATCAATGCTGAACTGGCTTAATATAATAAGTGCATGAAGAAGCAATATAGGACTATTTTTGTTAGGACTATTTTTTGATTATTTTTGGTGCTTCTTATTTCATGCAATTTATTCTAAAAAATTATTATCAAAACCTTATCAATCAATGACTTTTATATACCAAGTTATCTATGCACAAACTTTAGCTTTCACTTGCAATGTTTGTTTACGTATGACTTTACTACTAAATTATGTAAAAAATGAGAAACTCTAGTGTGACTTTGATTAATAATTTTTTAAAAGCATAAGAGAAATAGTCTTGTATATTTATACCATGA